CTGGTGGGATCTTTGTAGTTTTTCTTTGTGTTTGGTTGTGTTAGTAGTGAGTCTTGTTTTAGGTTTCTAGCGTTGTCGGATTCTAGGCGGTCGTCAGACCTGTCCTCCCATTTTATTCAGCTTTTGGTTGCTTTTCTTTCTCCGGTTGGGAGCTTTGTATATTTATTCGCACATTTGTGCGTTTTGGTTGATAATAGATACTCTCTCGTTCCGACAAAAAAAAAAACAATTAAGCTTCACTTAATTTTCATGCTTAGTAATATTTGATCTACTATTAAATTTTTACTATTATAAAAAAAATTAAAATGTTATGAAAGGTTAAATAATATTTTTGTAAGAAAAAATTATATTATATTTTGTTTGAATTTTAAAATTTCAATATTAGTTGCACAAATTCAGTCTTAACTAAAATTTAGAGTTACTTCTAGAGTTGATTTCAAATTAAATTTTTAATATGAGGAAGTATTCATGAATTTGTGTTCTTTAAAGCATATAAAAATTAAATAACTAAAATTTTAAGTTGATTACAAAATAAAATCTTCAAAATGATGAAGTATTGATGAATGTTCTTTTTTCTAAAGCATAAAAAATTAAAATATAACTAGGTTGTCATTCAAAAAATAAAATAAAAAAAATCTTTAAAGGTTCGAACCGAACAATACCGAATCGAACCGTTCTAATAGTTCCGAGTACCGAACCGAACCGACTAATAAATTATCTTCGAATCGAACTGTTCCAATTTTTTGGTACGGTTTTGGAGATTGAATTTAGTGATCTCCAAATTATGGTACCGTTTCGGTGATTTCTCAATCTCCAAACCATACCGACACATGCTCACCCCTACACCCAAGATGTACTAGTGTAATTCATCTGTCAAAGACCGACTAAGTCAAAATCACACTACAGCCTTTCACGACAAATAGTTCAATTATGTTTAGGCTGTGAACTTTTATTTATATTTTGCAAGGAACCGATAATATTCAGTAATTAGAAGGTTGAACTAACTATCGTGAAAGGCTTTAGTGTGATCATTGAGTTAGTTGATCTTTGACTAACGAATTATATAACACCCCACTATTTACTGAAAATTCAAAGTACGCTTTTTCGCAAATTTTCTAAATAAATAAATAAAATATTTCTTTTGCGAAATCTGATTCGAGGTGCTACCGTAAAATCTGACTTATTTTGAAAACCGTTAATTTTAAACTGATAATAAAAACGGTTATCAAATATATTAACCAACTATCGTCGGGTCAAAAGCTGGTTTAAAGTACTGAAAAACTGTAGCGGAAATGTAGCGTAGCCAAAATATAATATATACATATAAACAAATGTCCTGAACCGCTCGCCAGCTCACTCCTCGTCTCCGACTCTGTGACCTGAAAAACATGAATAATGTGGGGGCGTGAGCACGAAAACACTGTACTCCGCAGAAACTCATACTAAAGTAAAACAGTGAAAATAATAACAATATCATGATCCTGGCATATATAACTGAACTGAAACTGAACTGAATCTAAAACTGATAACTGATACCGGTACTGAATAATCTGATACTGATCTCGTGATATACATCACCTGACTGATAACTGAACATCTGCCAGCATAAAATTCCGGACACCATGTGCACACTCTAGTGGGCAGATTAAGGCCACTAGAACCCAGAATGGACCGACGACCATTCCGAGCGGATACTGATAATACATACCTCAAACATGGTAGCGTAATTATAATCAATGTAATACCCAGTCTGAGTCCCCACCTGATCCGTGAAAATAGAAGGCAGTGCTGATAACTGATGCCTGATCAAACTCTCAGCTGCTCGCCTGATCGCACAACGCTCGTGACCACTCGGTGCTTCCGTGCGTGTGGCGTCTCTCGCGTGCGGTGCGGCTAAGTACTATGCGTGCGGCGCTCTCCTCTCTTAACTCTCTCAAACAAACTTAGTTTAATGACATATATGGCTGAACATAAGGAGAATTTCCCCAACTCTAAACCTATATAAACTAAGCCGAAAGGAAAGGGGAGAGATGGGGCTTTGTTGGCTTCATCATTTCATGACACTTGCCCTCATAAGAATTAATTGAATGCTAACTCATCCCCTTATCATCTTAGTCATCCCTTAAGCTTTAATATCATGCCACCTCCTACTTAAAAAGTGGAGACAATTCTCCCTAAAAATATATGTATTGCTCACGGCTTAATTGTAAGCAAAAGGAGGAAAAATTCTACATGACTTAATGAACAAAATTGCTCACGGCAATTAATGATTAAACATGATTAATTACTAATTAAACATAATCTATATGCTTAATTAATCACTAAACATGATACTTAATTTCTGAATTTATTCCGAACGTAAACGGGACGTCGAAAATAATTTCAGATAATTTCGACTGAAATAATTAATTCGAACTATAATAATTTCGAATTTCTTGACTTGGACGATTAATCCGAATATTGATTTTTCGAATAATTCTTCAACTTAACTTATTAATTCCAAACTCATTAATTAATTAAATAAGTCTGAATTAAATCTGGAAACTTATTCGGTTACTGAAATAATTACCGAATAATTCATCGACTAATAGTCGAACTTGGAATATAACTAGCTGATTAATCTCAACTTGAACATGAACATGATTATTTATTAACAAAGGCTAGCTTAAAACTAAAAGCTAGTATTTTCCTTTATTAATAAAATACGGGGCGTTACAATCCACCCCCCTTAAAATATTTCCGTCCTCGGAAATACTAAAACTGGAATATACAAGCTTAACTTAAAGCTTATACTTACTGATTACATGACTTGAGAATTCAGTACTTTAATACTGAATAATGGATTTGATCTGAACTGAGGAGTCATCAATTCACAATTAAGTGAATTGTTAGATACTGCTGACTGAGAATGGACACTTTCCTGAAATAAAGTGTTCCACTGATTATACATGATATTAAAAACATGCTTCTTGAGCGTACTGGTCCTTATTTCTTGGCTGATTGCTGATCTTCGGTCTGAACGTTAGTTGTGGAACCCAAGCTATTGGTACACACAGAAAATTTCAAGATATGCATATGTACAAATGAGGTCAACTAGCAATCTCGGTAGTTACCTTTCGTGAACATCTACTCGATAACGCGGCACATCGTTCGCGGCATATTGTAATGCGGCACACCTGCTCCTCATCAAGTGAGTGCGGCACGCCTGCATACAGTACCTGGCGAACATTGCACCTGCGTCGTCGACATAGTCTGTGTAACTCATCATATCTGTATCTCAAGCTAGTAACCTCAATGTATTATAATGCTAACTCTCTGTAATCTCCCAGTGTACCGTGACTCAGGCATAGCATCCTTCTTTTCTTGCGTCATGCGTCCTTGGATGAAAAGCTTCAATTGATCAACATGATCTGTTGCTGTTGATTGGTGCTTCTTCGTCGCGTTTGTATGTCAACATGTTGTACCTGCAACTGTTTACCTTCCCTGAGGTTAAACTTAACCTCAAGAAAAGTCTATCATGAACTAATCCTTCCTGCGATTTCTCCAATTTCAGAATTTGATAATCGAGGCATTGGATATACTTGAAATGACTGATACGTCTTGTCTTATTAGACAGAATGTCTTTGACTTTGGCATAGCTAGCCTGAATATTCTCATAACTGGATAACCATGACTTGACTTTTACATGACTGAATCATCTTTGCCTGAACTCTGAAATCTATCCCGAGATAACCAAATAGTTGCTTCGGATTTGAAAACATGACATTTACTGATTTACTTGACTTGATAAGGTGCAACTTCAAGTTTCCAGGTAAATTTGGACTAATGGTCTGTATATCAGACCTCCACATTCAACCCGGTTGAGCAACTATTATACGTCGACCTTAAATCATGAACATTAACTTTAAATCTTGAACATTGACTCATGACTATGTACTGTATAGGGTTGTTCCAGTATCAACTGGTCCCGCAAGTACAAAGGAATTAGCTGATCTTGATCTTTGAAAACTTTAACTTGAAGTATCCTGACTGACAAAATACATGACATTACTGACTTTAAAGGTTGTGATTACATGAAATCATACTGCTCCGGTCACAGCTTCAAGCCTCCATGGTAACCCGGACTATTGACTCTTATACACTGGAAACCGTTACCTTGACAATGACTTGAAAATTATCACAACCTTTAGCATGAAAATTTTTTGCCTTGAACATGATTTACTGATCTGACTTTAGGAGATTTGAGTCTATTCCCTGATCTAACTCAAGGAATTTCTCCCTGGAATCTGCCAACTGGTTGGCAAAATGGGTAATTCCCGATAGAAAATGTCTGAGGAACTTGGTCACTAAGATTTGTATAACACAAGTGTTTACAAATCTCCTGACAAGTTGCTAACTTGACTTGAATATATCTAGAATTGAATCTAGAGTTTTCAACTTAGCCCTTTTCTAAAGTTCTGAATTCTGATTCGAGCATCCCTACTGATGACTTTATTGAAGCCTATCAATAAAGCACACACAAATTTATTGACGAGTTGCTAAACATGACTGGAAAATACTGACATTAAATCCTGAGTATACTGACTACTGATCCTGAACATGATTCGAGCATCTTAACTAAGTCATAACTGAGGAATTTCTGAGCATAGACATAGTAATTTGTTTATAACTTAAAAACATAAATCAGCACTTACCTGTAGTCGGCGAGGCGTGAGCGTGACGGTTCAGGTTTTTCTAAAATTCCTGACTTGTAAAAACTTTTCAGAGACGCAGAAACGTGCTCTGATACCAATTGTAACACCCCGCTATTTACTGAAATTTAGAGTATGCTTTTTCGCAAATTTTCTAAATAAATAAATAAAATATTTCTTTTGCGAAATCTGATTCGAGGTACTACTGTAAAATCTGACATATTTTGAAAACCGTTAATTTTAAACTGATAATAAAAACGGTCATCTAATATATTAACCGACTATCGTCGGGTCAAAAGTTGGTTTAAAGTACTGAAAACCTGTAGCGGAAATGTAGCGTAGCCAAAACATAATATATACATATAAACAAATGTCCTGAACCCTCGCCAGCTCACTCCTCGTCTCCGACTTTGTGACCTGAAAAACATGAATAATGTGGGGGCGTGAGCACTAAAACACTGTACTCCGCAGAAACTCATACTAAAGTAAAACAGTGAAAATAATAACAATATCATGATCCTGGCATATATAACTGAACTAAATCTGAAAATGATAACCGATACCGGTACTGAATAATCTGATACTGATCTCGTGATATACATCACCTGACTGATAACTGAACATCTGCCAGCATAAAATGTCGGACACCATGTGCACACTCTAGTGGGCAAATTAAGGCCACTAGAACCCAGAATGGACCAACGACCATTCCGAGCGGATACTAATAATACATACCTCAAACATGGTAGCGTAATTATAATCAATGTAATACCCAGTCTGAGTCCCCACCTGATCCGTGAAAATAGAAGGCAGTGCTGATAACTGATGCCTGATCAAACTCTTCGCTGCTCGCCTGATCACACAACGCTCGTGACCACTCGGTGCTTCCGTGCGTGTGGCGTCTCTCGCGTGCGGTGCGGCTAAGTACTATGCGTGCGACGCTCTCCTCTCTTAACTCTCTCAAACAAACTTAGTTTAATGACATATATGGCTGAACATGAGGAGAATTTCCCCAACTCTAAACCTATATAAACTAAGCCGAAAGGAGAGGGGAGAGATGGGGCTTTGTTGGCTTCATCATTTCATGACACTTGCCCTCACAAGAATTAATTGAATGCTAACTCATCCCCTTATCATCTTAGTCATCCCTTAAGCTTTAATATCATTTCACCTCCTACTTAAAAAGTGGAGACAATTCTCCCTAAAAATATATGTAATGCTCACGGCTTAATGTAAGCAAAAGGAGGAAAAATTCTACATGACTTGATGAACAAAATTGCTCACGGCAATTAATGATTAAACATGATTAATTACTAATTAAACATAATCTATATGCTTAATTAATCACTAAACATGATACTTAATTTCCGAAATTATTCCGAACGTAAACGGGACGTCGAAAATAATTTCGGATAATTTCGACTAAAATAATTAATTCGAACTATAATAATTTCGAATTTCTTGACTTGGACGATTAATACGAATATTGATTCTTCGAATAATTCATCAAATTAACTTATTAATTCCAAACTCATTAATTAATTAAATAAGTCGGAATTAAATCTGAAAATTTATTCGGTTACTGAAATAATTACCGAATAATTTATCGACTAATAGTCGAACTTGGAATATAACTAGCTGATTAATCTTAACTTGAACATGAACATGATTATTTATTAACAAAGGCTAGCTTAAAACTAAAAGTTAGTATTTTCCTTTATTAATAAAATACGGGGCGTTTCAAATTACACCAGTAAATCTTGGATATACTGAACGAGCTATAGAGAATAAGATTACTTATACTGACCAAGTAAATAATCTAGACCTCAGTAACTATTGTGTTCTCTTAATCAGTAAGTAAATAGACGGGGATACATATTCGATACTCAGTTATTTGTTTTACAAAGTGTGAGAACTATTCTTTTAGGTAGACAAACTCCATTGTCGGCCTCTGTTTTTTTAATCTGGTTTTATAAACGGGTTTGTAAAAGTATATAAGGATTAATTTTAAGCTGTAAAATTGGTTTAAATGTTTTATTCCTACCTCAACATGATCACATTACCTTTGTATGTAAGGCCCAAATCGCCCCAATAATTTAAAAGTACATTTATTTTTATATCATCTCACATCGGAAAATACATGGAAAAAGAGTAAGCTATTTAAATGATAACTTTATCTTCTAAGTCAATGTTGGGCCGCACAATTTTTGGTATTGATCCTCTGTACCCGCTTCGACAACCTTTTTCCACCTGCCGTGCACGAACTTTTGCGCGATATCCTCATTTTTTTCAAGGAGTCAATAGATTATTTCTTCCACATCCTTGTTAATGTTTTTTCCAAGGAGTCGATAAACTCCGTCTTCCACATCCTTATTGATGTGCCACGTGAAAAGTAAGTGGACAGGTTCAGGAAAAATTCTTCGAATATGAGTCATTATCCCAATTCCCTGTCATTGACAATGGTTGTAGGATGTACATTAGACCTACCAGATGTCTCAAAATCTGTAGAACCCAGACATAGATGTACTCTCTTATCCTTGATAATTGCATATGCAATTAAGAAGTTCTTGTTGCACGGAATCATCCCAACAATTTCCACCAACGATATCTGATACCTGTGCAAATGAGAGCAACAAGAAGAAAAATAAAATCAAAATACTTACTCAGACATACTGATTAAGATTCATACTAATTTGTTATTTATAAAGTAGCATACCTGTTGGTTTTGTACGTCAAATCTATATCGATGTACCAATAAGATGTCCGGAATAGACTGACTGTTGAGGATGCGACAATGAACAAATGTGTCAAAGCCTGTGTCTCTTCATCAACATCTGTATAAACTATATAATTGCTCTTCGAAGCCAAATGCAGAATCTGGATAGTCATATCTCTACGCTCGAAACTATCTCTCCGCAATTGATCTCTATAGCTATACACATGTCGCCTGATATCGTTGTCTTCTGGGTTTTTTTTTCCTAGATCGAAGAAAAAATTAATGTCCTTTTTACCTGAGCAGCAGTAATAGCACAGACAATATCTTTAGATAAAACGCTAAGTCTGCTCACTATCAACAACATTACTTACACGGATCGTCCAATAAATTGATTGTTCCACCTGTTGGACTGTTATCTGAAAAGGGAAATTGCACGCTTTAGTCTTTGAACGTCTGACAACAGCTCGATCTAAATCTTCTAAACTACATCTGTAACGTTCACCTCAAGAACACTTCAACACCTTCATTCTTCATTTCTTTTTGTGTGAGAAGATGACCAATTCAAAATCATATATAATTGTCGTTTCTTTTGCCCATGTAATAACTTCTTCATCACTACCAAATACGTCCTCCGTAAAGAAAGCAGAACTATAATCATCTCCTCCAAACTCTTCGAGTGGCACCGGCAATATATTACAATGTTAACAAATTTAAAAGATAATCAATTCTAATTTATAACATAAAGGTTTCTAAGTTCTAACAAAATAATAATAGATTCTAATTTATAAGATAATCAATTATAATTTATAACTTAATAATTTGTAAGTTCTAACATAATAATAATAATAATAAATTTTTAATTAAAACATAAAAATGTAAGTTCTAACATAATAATAATAAATTCTAATTTATGACATAAATACTTCTAAGTTCTAACATAATAATACTAAATTTTAACTTATAAGATAATCATTTATAATTTATAACATAATAATTTCTACTAACATGATTTATTTAATAAAAATAATAATTTAAAAAATAACCCGTTAGACAACGGTTGGCTAGCCGACGAGGTCGGCTGAGTATGGTATGGCCGGTTGCAATTTGCGACCGCCAATGGCCATGGCGGACCTAGCCTACCGGCAGCCGACGGGGGTCCGACCGGCTTTGCTAGCCGATCGGAGAAAATCGAACCTTGTCATCGAACATTTTTTCGCCATAAATCATATGATTTAAAAGAATTTACGCTTTTTTGAGTTTTTTTGGAAAAATATCAGGGGCAAATTGGTCCAGAAGAGGACGGTACATAGTAATAGGGGCGATGAATAGTAATATCCTTACCTATAATGTGGACCTAATTTAGACATTCCATAAGAGTCTTGTTTTATTTTCCACAATCCAAAAGGGGATGCTTGGATATAAATTTTTTTGGATTTGTTGGTTTGGTTTGGTAATTTTGAAAAAGTGGTATAATTAGTTGTTGATGGGTATATTAAAATAATATTTAAAATAAAATAATTAAAGTGATTTGATGTAAAAGTAGGAGATAGATGGTCTAAGTGATGATTAGTTAAAATTATATGACTAGAAGAATATTAAATTGAAGTTGATGTGGTGTGTAAGAATGATTGATTGATATTATTTAATTATATTAATAGTATTGATTATAGAGTTGAATTACAGTTGAGTTAAAAAAAATGGTTGAGTTAAAAATGTTTAATTTTTTTTAAGAAGATTTGTATTAAAACATCCTATAAGAGTCAGAGATAGTTATTTTTGTAAGACATGGAAGGTTGGAGATATTAATGTATAACAATGAAAAATTTGATTATACAAAAAGTATCCTATTTTATCAAAAAATGTATTTAATATCATTTACAGTTTTCTATCACTTTTTTTTTTTTTTTTT